TTGTCCAGTTAATTTCCTTCTATTTTTAGTAGAGACGGGGTCTACCCTCTTGCTCAGGCTGGTCTCCAACTCCTGACCTGGAGCGATCCTCCCATCTCGGCCTCCCAGAGGGCTGGCTAAGATTACAGGCGTGAGCCACCGCGCCCGGCCCTTGATTTTTCTAGAATTACTTAAACAGGGAGTGTATATTCAGCAAAAAAAAAAATAAGAATTGCTTAAATATTCCAGATAGTCATCCTCAGTCAGAAAACGTTTTCTTCAGGACATTCCCATCTATCTTTTTTTATTTCCGTATCTATATACTGGTATTTCCCATCATGCGTTTTCCATTAGACCTTATGATGTTTCCTATATTATTAAAGTACCTTGCAAAACAGCATTATAGGGGCTGCAGGATGTCCCATTCCATAAACATTCTGTGATTTACAATCCTAGGTCATTCCCAAGTTTTCCCTATTATATAAGTAATGCTGAGATTTACATCTCTGTTCATAAAGCTTTACTAGCTTGTGTTTGTTTTTATTTTTTTGAGACAGAGTCTCACTCTGTCACCCAGGCTAGAGTGCTGTGGCGTCAGCCTTGCTCAGAGCAACCTCCAACTCCTGGGCTCAAGCGATCCTCCTGCCTCAGCCTCCCGAGTAGCTGGGACGACAGGAGTAGCTGGGACTACAGGCACATGTTACCGTGCCCGGCTAATTTTTTCTCTGTATATATTTTTAGTTGTCCAGATAATTTCTTTCTATTTTTAGTAGAGACGGGGTCGCGCTCTTGTTCAGGCTGGTCTCGAACTCCTGACCTCGAGCGATCCACCCACCTTGGCCTCCCAGAGTGCTGGGATTATCGGTGTGAGCCACCGCTCCCGGCCTATATTTGTTTTTATTTTTTAATTACAATACATTCCTTTTAAATGCACTCATTGAGTCAAAGCACTGATTTAAGAAATGGTGGCACCGCTTGTATCATCACACGAATGCTGTAGACAAGTGACTGTTCCGTGGAATTTTCCTGAACGTACTTGCTCTATGGCCGCGTGGCATCATGTCACGACGAGGCTTGGCTCAGAGTGTGACGGTCACTTGGGACGTCAGCTCAGTTCCTGCTGTTTCTTGTAGCTCTTCCGCCTCCAAGAAAGACCCGGGCCGAGCTCATGAAGGCGATCGACTTTGAGTACTACGGTTACCTCGACGAAGACGATGGGGTCATCGTGCCTTTGGAACAGGAATACGAAAAGAAACGTAGGTCTCTGGGCATTTCATTTCATTATAGATGGCATCTGATTTCTGTTCTCTCCTTTGCAAACAGGGTTTTCTATAGTGCTTGATCGCCAGCAAGGAGTTCTCTTTAATAGTCAGCTAATTCCCTGACCCCCTAGAGGCAGTCAAGGCAGGCAGGGCGGTGTTGGGCCAGAAGTAGCAGGTTGGGGAAGCCAGAAGAGCCACATCTGACCTGGTCCCTTT